AAAATGTTAGAATGCTTCTATTTTGTAGGGTTCCATAGTTTGATTGAATAAAATCTGAACATTGCAAGTCGTCTCTCTCCTAGTTAGGTAGACTTGTTGTCTTTAATCAACACAATTTTGAAACCAATTTAAACATTAAATTGAGCACACCTACTGACACTTTACATCAGTCAAATCACTTAAAACCATGTTCACTGACTCACTCCTTCTGTGGTCAAGTTGTCCACTTCACCACTCAACAAAAATTTAACTCATGTACCCACTGCACAACACCCTACAAATTTCAGTAGTGGCATTCAATGTCAGTAACATCCAGTGCATAATGATAATTCAAATGCAAACTAAATCTATCAATCAGTAAAGTAACTAATCCTAGACTGGAACTCTATTTCGGAACCACGAAATTCAGCCAAACATGACATGTTTCAGTTAATTCAGAGTCCTAAAATTCAGTCAAACATGACTTGAACATTTAGTTAATTCAGAGCCCTAAATTCAGTACTTCGGTTCGTTCAGTCACAAACAGCAACAACAAGATTCAGTTAACCTAGATCCAGCAACGACATTTGCAAGAATTCCAGCAAACCCTAGTTTCCAAATATGAACCTTAGAGTTCCAACATTGAAACTTGCTAATACAGAGAGGCAGGCATCTCACCTAGGGGCTCGACCACCACTGTGATGCTGTGGGCGACATCTGCCGCCGCTGGCAGTGGCGACGATGAAATACTCTAGCCTCTGAGATAATTTGAAACGAATATGTTATGGTCGGAGCAATCTTCCTCCTCGCCGCGGGTATCCCCTGCCACACCGGCCAGCCACGCTTCATGCTTTGTCAACCACGCCTTGTCCCCACCATTCCCTCGTCGATGGATCCGGAGTCGCCACCGCCACCATGTCCGCAAGAGAGTGAAGAGGGAGAGAGAGATAGAGTGAGGAGGGGAGTGACGGAGGGAGTGGTCGGGTTGGGTCGTCCCATTCTCTTCGGACAGAGCCGTTAACGGTCGTTAGCGATGTGCCGTCACCGATGTCGGCCCGCGAGTGATCAGCCATGTCAAAACACACTCGGTAATTGACTTAGTGTTTTTTGCCACTGTCAAATTTTCAGTTCGGTGCAAAATATCACGAATCGCAGAGTAGCTAGTCGTGACACGAAAGTGGTGATTATGTGCATTTAACTCCCTCATGATTGTAAAGATACTTTGATTGAGTAATAAAAGTTTTATCCATGCCAAAAAGAAGAAAAAACTCCCTCACTGGTACAAAATGAAACTATTTTTTTACATAACAAATAGGATTTGGATCATCCTTGTTCTTCATCGCCGGCCTGACGACGCAAGTTGCTGTCCCACCTCGCATTGAACCCTTAATTATTACAAAGCTCCTTTTGGGTGGCATATAAGAGCATCTTCAAGGCGGACCTACGAATCTTCCGCAACCGTCCGGACAGCAGTGTCTGGACCGCCGAAGTCATACAACGCCGATCTATATCGGTCTGTGGGACCGTTTGGACACGATTTCTGCCGCAAATTGGAGACAACAGTAAGGTTTGCGGGAGTCCGGACACCCAAAACGTATGACTTCGACACCCCCAGCCCACCCGAACCCCCCTCCCAATCCCATTTCCTTCTACTTGCCCCCTTCTCCCCCTTGCTTTGCATACGCACCCTCCACCTCTTCCGCCACTGCTATTCATCCCCAGCGGCCACATAGGCATTGTCGAACGTCCGCAACCAGCACCGGTGCGCCCGCTCGCCGTTCCAACGGAGCTTTCCACCCTGGAGCCATTTGTACCCAAGTACACTCCGCCACTTGTCGACAACCTCTCACCCTGTGCGTTCGGTTTATTCGGTTTACATGGTTCGGTTTATACGGTTTTTCAGTTTGTACAGTATTAATACTTCGGTAAATACGGTATGAAATTAAAATACGGTTTGGTTTCGGTATATACCAAATTATTTCGGTATGGTTTCGGTATATACCATAAAAACCAAAGTTGACACGAATTTGAAAATGACGTAATAATAATTTGCAAATTTATGACTCAAAACACATACTATTTTACACAAATAGTATATGACTATATATATAAGTATATATGCATGCATTAATTCATCTGTTGATGGTTATGGACGTGCTTAGCATTTTAAAAAGAGAAAAATGACTATGTTAGAAGAAAATTTTACATGCTTATTAGTGAATTTGATTCATGTACAAGAAAAATGACAACTTGTATGGTTGTTCATCTCAAGAAATATAAATTTATTTTTACTTTGGTTTATTCGGTTAACCGTTCGGTTTTTCGGTATATACCATAAAAACCAAAGTTCAAATCGGTATGAAAAGTTCATACCATACCAAAACCAGAAACCATAAAAACCATAAAATCGATTCGGTTCAGTTTATTTTCGGTATGGTTTTTCGGTTCGGTTTTGAAATGCACAGCGTGAACAACCTCCATTGCGGACACGACGTCTGGCAGGTGTTCAGTCAAATACCATTGAGCTTATTTTCAAATCCTATGTCGGTTTTAGAGTATGAAGGATAGTGAGATACTCGACCATGGAGAATGAGTTGTGCGATGCGTGGCTGGCGGTATTTGTGGATTTCATAGGCGGGAGCAAAGGGGAGCCCTTCTGGGAGCAAGTGCATGAAAAGTTTCATGCACGAAAGCACATTGCGCCCTACAACATGTACATTATTCAACCACGCAACGTGAGGTCATTGTCGTATCGCTGACACTATCTAGATCAACGTCATCAAGTTGTGCAACTTGGTTAGTCAACTCGAGACAAGGTGGCCATTGCATACGGACATGGACGAGATTGTTGAATATTCATTCATGCAATGTTGGTCTACATATTATATGTAGCCCGCATGAGCCGTCGTGGTGTACCACAGGATGGAGGGACGGTCATTTACGTGCACACACTGCTGGATGAAGTTGAAGGGGGGGTTTGTGTGGAACGACATGACCCGTTCATGAAAATACTTGCTGGATACCCGGCATCTAGTCAAACTTAGAGACATTTTTGTACTAGACTTAACTTGTATGCTATGTATGGATGAGTAGTGCTACTTTCTATCCGAACTTCGATGAATATCGGTTGGTTTGCATGAATTTCATCTGATTAGTTAAAATGCAGTTTGAAATGTATGTGGCTAGTGTTGGATGTTGTCCTTCCGCATCCTTGTTCGTGGACTGGTTCCCCCTGCCCGCGGGTGGATGCGAGAAGATTTTTATGGGTTGCCGTTGAAGATGCCCGAAAACAAGTATTTTAGACATGTCGAAAATGTTAGTACGGAACTAATAAATATCATAATGATGGTATGTTTATGTTGCCCGTGGTGATTTCTTAAAAAATCATATAAGAAATGTAATTACTCCTCCCGTTTCGTAATATAGTGCATATAGATATTTTTATTAATTTTAACCAAGTTTATACTTACTACTTACTAAGCCTTTTGTCCCAAACAAGTTGGGGTAGGCTAGATATGAAACCCTTTCACGAGGACTTCCCAGGAGGTCACCCATCTTAGTACTACTCTCGCCCAAATGGGTTTCATACCCAAAGGACTGGCTAGTTTTTACGTTGGCTCGCCAAGCCTATCACAACCCTTAGATATGAAACCCTTTCACGAGGACTTCCCAACCTAGTATTACTCTCACTCAAATGGGTTTCATACCCATGGGACTGGCTAGTTTTTACGTTGGCTCGCCAAGCCTATCACAACCCTACTCCTTTCCCCGGGCTTGGGACCGGCTATGCCTAGAAGACATAGGCGGAGTTAATTTTAACCAAGTTTATAGAGAAAAAATATATATCTACAACACCAAATATGAAATATCTAAAATGTGAAACTACATATTATGATGAACCTAATTATATATGTTTGGCATTCTAGATGTAAATATTTGTCTCCATAAATTAGGTCAAAGTTTATGAGGTTTGACTTTTTCAGAAAATCTATATGCACTACACTGTGAAACAGAGGGAGTATTTTATTATGGATCATCTTGGAGATATAATGCTATTTTTGAAATATTACAATTTGTCAACTACTTTTGTGCTAATTTATCATACGTATGTTTTGGTATTTTTTTGAAATATATGTAATTGTTTATGATTCATTTTTCTCCGGGTCTGTCTAGGGCACATTTAGATATGCCATAATTATTGCACATCCAAGTGCATAAAAAGAAAAAAGAAAATACCCACACAAATCCCTGCGTAAGATCAATGACATACGACTTAGATGTGTAATAATTATGGAACATCTAGATGTGTTGTTACTATTTATATCACAAAGAGCTAGCCAAAACAAATTCATTTTCCTCGAGTTTCCGATCAAGTAAACAACAACGCCTTCTTGCAAATTGGCAGTTCCAGGTGTGAAGCAAATGGAATTTACCTCTCCAGAAAAAGCAGAACACCTAATAGACCAGAGCATAAAGAATTTCTCAAACCATGCCAAGTCTCAATACATCACTGAATTCAGGTGTTAACACCACAGAGTACAAACAAAAGAAGTCTACACACAGAACCTTCAAGCCAACTATTACAACACATCACCAAGTCTACTTAACATACTCCAATACTTCACCAAACGAAAGGGATACAATACTTCATACAAACTCCAATTCCAGTACCATTCCAACTAGTCTGAAGTTTCAGACATTTATTCAAATACAAACTTAAACCTGCTACCACGAAACGGTCGGATGATGGTAGCAAGCAGCAGCACTTACCTAGATAATATTTTGTATGGCAAAGGGGGTGTTCCACTCACCACAGGGTCCTGGAAACTAGCACTGAAGTTTCGAGGACAAGTAGGCGATGAGCGAAAGCACTACCGATGCCATGAGCCAAGAATGAATTGCCCGCGGACAGCCAGATGACGGCAGGGACAGACCCCTGCCCTGGAGCTGGACACAATGCCGGCAGATGCTGCCGGTTTGCGCCATCTCTTGATATTTCGGCTGCCCGTCACCCCCTCAAGTCATGCTTTGAGGAGGTTGCAGCAGCCATCGGAGGCTGCTGCCCACTTGAAGGGGTTGCCGGCCCCATGCTCACCGTCCATGATGCTCGGGAGCGGGGTGAAGAAGTGTGTCCGGAGGTGCTCAAAGTTGTGGTAATGGTCCACATCTTCATGATCATACAGGCTTGTCACCTCTGAGCCAGACAGGCTGGAGACACTGCTTCGGTTTCCCTGCTCAGAGTGCTGGATCTCTGAACTGAGAGATGCAGCTGGGCGCATAAGCGGGTTACCGGCCATCGCCTTGCTCCCAACACCAGTGTCTTTTCCATTGGTCTCTTTCTTAGTGTTGAGGAAGCGTCCACCGGAGCCTCTCGCACGGCGCATTGCATGAAGATGGCGTGACTCGTGAAGATATGGCTGCATTGCAGAAAGCACTCACATGAGTGCGAAAGAAAGATGAACATTTGCATTGCATGCCATGGTGGAATAAACGTCCCCTGTTTTATACTCCCTCCGTTCCAAAATAGATGACTCAAGTTTGTACTAACTTTATATACTAAAGTTAGTACAAACTTGAGTCATCTATTTTGGAACGGAGGGAGTACTTGAGAAGGCGAGCCATACCTTTCTGGCCTTGACCAGCCTATTCTCCTTCTCTGCCTTGGCGCGAGCACGACGGCGACGAAGGATGCCTTCATATTGCTTTGCATTCACATAAATCGGCGCATCAGCAGGCATGTTCAGTGGTATAAGCATACGCCCGCTAGACTGCATTGCACAAAGGGAAATGGAGGAACATATTAGATATCATACATTACTAGATAAAATAAATTGTATACAAGATTCAGGCTTACAAACTCAAAGACAAACCCTATTATATATCCTTTTTGGTGTCAATGAAAAAAAGATACCCCAGAACACTTTCCTGACATTAAGCCAAGAAAGCTTCACCATGCAATTGCTATTCACAATGCTTTGAGAATGTTCACTTTGTACTCAGTGTACACTCTGTACCAGATTTCATTTGTTGCTTATTGAGAAAATTAAAGATTCATATTTGCACTAAAAGAAATCAAAAGGATCAAGCACACACTTCATGTTCAGAAATTACATATACATAATATAACTAGCACTATGAACCATTTTATGGAAACTTTGTGCTAGATTGTTCAAACTGTGGAATTCAGATGAACACTGGACTGAAGTTCTGTACATATATACGGCTCATTAAAAACTAAATGCACATTACCGCTGATCTCATTCCATAAGAAGAAAGTAGGCCATACTGCTGATCAGAGTAGTAGTTGGAGGAAATCTGAAAAGTATCAGAAGGCATTGATGAACTCAAGGCTAAGTAAATTCAGAAAGGCATTTGTAACTGTAAGGTTGCAAAGTCCTAAATGCATTACTAATTTAATCACAGGTTTGTCACCATTATTCATACGGATAAACCGAAAGAGTGGGAAAAGCTCACCACAGATTGGCCAAGGCCCAGCTCAAAGTGGTCATTATACTCTGTGAATGGTGACTGCAGAGTGATAGGGGCAGAGTGCTCAGAACTGTTCCCTCCTTTACCTGAACCCAAATGCACCATCAATCACATTTCCAAGGTCCATAAAAACAGAAGTAGGTCTGTACTTTCAAATACGACAGTCATTCAAGTTGCTAGAGAGAGAAAGTCATGCATGATAGGAGTCTTTAACTGACAAAGGGAAATCCTTCTACTCTCATTGACACGCTTACATGGCATTACATTTCAGAAGAACATGTGCTAAAAAGCTGTGGATCCATGAACCCATGGCAATTTGACTTATGATGTTCAATTTTTCATATCAAATGCATAAGTTTCTGTGTTCATAAAAAAGGATAAGTTTCAGAAGGATTGAATCTATATAGCATCAGATTTTCTACAAGGCGTATTAGGTTACATACTAGGTTCTTTTGGTGTCATGCCATGGCTGAACATAAGAAAATGTTTTTTAACCCAAGAAAATGTCAGAATTTTCATGGCATGTGCCTACAGAATAGTTATGTGCTGGGGTGCTTTTCTCATTTCAGAAATAGCAAATTGTGCAGTATGGTTTTTCTGAATCAAGATGTGATTGATCTCTGAATCAAGGTATACACAAATTGGCAATGCTTGTGCTAGAACCGTAAGGGACCAGTAAATCTAAAAGAGCTCAAGGGATATAAGTAGGAAGGTCACAGGCTTCCACCCAAATCTACTCTGTTTTGTAGCCATAAATTTAAACACCAAATTGACCCTTGATGTAGTAGTATTCATGGAACTGTCCAAGGTTTAGCCTTTGAGTGAAAGCGGTACAAAAATATCTGTTGAATTGATTATGTAATGTAAATGGTGTCAATGAATAATGGCATCCACATAAGACCTTAATTTAGAAGAATCCAACCAGCCCTCATCCAGCATGACTCATCATCCGCTTGTCACAACATATACAGATTCCACCTCTGTGCAAGATTTGTTAAAAATTACCCTATATTTCCCTTACCAAAGATAACCATCTTTTCTTTTTTTTTGCAGATTGGAAAGTACTAAGTTTTTATCTAATTTAAGCTAATTAACTCACATATTCACACTGCGGTAAGCATTCTAGTATCTGGGTTTACACTTCATACTAAAAAATTATCTACCTTTCTCTGAACAACACCAAATTTGTCTACCTATGTCGAGAAATAGGTACAGATAGCGCCAAATTTGTACTGAAACTTAAATTACCGAGAGCTGAACCAAACCCTGTGTCATTCACATGTATCACAACACTCTCTACTCGTTTCTACTAACATGCACAGATTTAATTAGTTCATTGGGCATGGCACATCATACTCTTCTCACGGCGCATTACGCGGTTTTCTTGTAAGAACCCTATTGTCTGAGACAAACACCACCCTACTATGTGCACTTCACATTACCTAAGCTCTCCTAGAACTGCATTTTGTATGTCTATATATACTACAAACATTGCCAAATTTGTACTGAATCTTTTTTCTGTGTGTGTGAATACTAAAACTTAAATTACTGAGAGCTGAACCCAGCCATGTGTCCGTGCTTCACATGTGTCACACCACTATCTACTATTTTCTACTAGCAAGTGTAGCAGAGTAGAGCAGCCTCATCTCACGCCACAAAACAAACACCTATCTCAAAGGATGGGGACAGAGCAGCCTCACCATGAGCCATGGAGAACTTGAGAGCTTCAGGGATGCCCCTCTCCCCCATGGGCAGCGGCACGGCGTCCAGCAGCGCCTGGGCCCTCGGCACGACCTGGAACTGGCCGTCCCGGCAGGCATCCTCCGGCGGCGACATGGACATGGGCACGGCCGGCGGCGCCTTCCCGTGGCCCATCGGCTCGCCGTACAGCAGCTGGGACCCAACCCACCAGGGCAGCGGCGCCCCACCGGAGACCTGGCTCGCGGCGGCGGCGGCGGCGGCGAGCAGCTGCTGCCCTGCAAACCCCTCATGGTGGTTCTTGAAGTTCATCATTGCGGCGGTCCGGATGTGACTAAGCGCCCACCAACCTGCTGCAATCAAGAGCGCCAAAAAAAAACAAGCAAACACAGATTGAGACTGAGCACCGATTAAATCAGAAACAGAAGCGCAGATTGCCGCCAAAGAGGGGCGCAGAAAAATCTTCAGAAACAGAATGCGGAGGGTGGGGAATGCAGGTCGCCGGAATCAAAAACCGGAGCGAATCAAGAAACCGGACCGAGAGAGCGCAAAATTCCCCAAGAACCGAGCCGAAAGCTGGGATGTTTTTTTTACCGGAAGCAGAAAAGAAGATTTATTACAGTACCCAAAATCCACGGTGATTTCAGCTCAGCAGCGCCCAGAGCCGGAGCGAGCGCGCAGCGCGAGGCAGGGGGCTTTCAAGGGCGAGCCCGTGAATGTGCGCGGCGAGAATCTCAGCAGCAAGGG